ACCTCAGCACTTGGGAAGCTGAGGCAGGAGGATTGTCACAGTTGTTCAGGTCATTCTTGGGCTATGTAGTAAGTTCAAAGGTGGCATGGGACTATGTAGTAATAACTTACCCTTCTATTGTTTTTGTTTTTTTCTGAGACAGGAATTCTCTGTGTAGCCCTGGCTGTCCTGGAACCAGCTCTATAGACCAGACTAGCCTCGAACTCAGAGATCTGCCTGCCCCTGCCTCTCTGAGTGCTGGGATTAAAGGCATATGGCGCTACTACTTGGCATGATAGCTTATCTTAAATAAATGTGTGGGCAATGAAATGGCTGGCAGGTAAAAGCATGTGCTGCCAAGCCAGATGACCTTCCACATGGTAGAAGAAGAAAACCAACTTTTGCAGGTTGTTCTCTGGCTTCCACATGTGTGTTGTGTTATGGGCCCACACAGAAATAATGTGAAAAAAAAAAGACCATACACTTTTACTGTGCATTCTCTTTTTTGTGTGGTGTGCATGTTTGTGTTTGTTATATGTACCTGTGTGCTCTCAGGTGTGTATGAAGGCAGGATCTTACTTTCTGAGGCAGGATCTTTTACTGAATTGATTGGCTAGACTGGCTGGCTAGTGAGTTCTGGGATCTCTCTCCCTCTTTCCTCCCTCCCTGTACTGGTGTTACAGACATGTAACACTGTGTCCCTTCTTACATAGTGGCTGTATTACTTTGGTTGGTTGCTTGGTTGGTTTGTTTTGTTTCGTTTTTGAGACAGGGTCTTTCTGTGTGTGCAGCCCTGGCTGTCCTGGAACTCCTATAGAGACCAGGCTGGCCTCGAACTCACAGAGGTCCGCCTGCTTCTTCGTTCTGAGTCCTGGGATAAAGGCGTGCACCACCATGCCTGGCTTGTTGTTGTTTCTGAGGCACGATCTTACTCTATAGTCAAGGCTAGTCTCAAACTCATGATCTTCCCCAGGTGCTGGAATGATAAGTGTAGGATTCACACCTGCCTATTGTATCCCTTGCTATCTCCACAAGTGTTGAGTTCTTCCATACCCTTTTTAACACTTGCTGTTTTCACTCTTTATCAGATAATGAAGTATGTGTGCTCTTGAGTAGATGAAGGGCAGAGGATCGCTCTTGGGAGTCATGTTTCTCCTGCCATGAGTGGAATCGGAGGATTAAATTTGTATGCAAGCTCCTCTAACCTCTGAGCCATCTCATTAGCACACTACAGTAAGCATGAAACCAATGGGGAACTGTGTGGGAGAAGCTAACCTGGAGACATGTGGCAGTGGACACTGATTTGAATTCTGACACTGAGTTGAAGGCTCTAGCTAAAAAGTGACCCCACAAGCTCTGTAACTTCTACAACTTTTCTACATAGAAACAAGTCTTTGTGACCATTGACAAGTTACTTCTCCTTTCTAAGCTTTGGGTTTTTTGTTTTGTTTTTGTTTTTTTGCTTTTTTGTGGAATGTGAAATAAAAGATGGATGTGCTTAGGGTAAGATCTGGTGCAGATCTGCACTCAGTGATCAGTAGCTGTTGTCGTCATGGTCTAATTACATATTAGGGGAGTTAAATACACACTTTATGCCTCCAGTAACTGCTGATGTTGAGATTGCTTCCCTTTTTCCTTTGAAACTAGTTTAATTAGGTTTGTTCCCCATGTGATAGCCAAGTGATTTCTGTTAAACTTTTATCTGTATAAGTGTATAGCTGCGTTTGTCTTGTCTCACAATAAATGTCTTAGGAAAGACTTGTCTAGTCATCTGTCAGAAAGCACTCCATACAACCTTCATGTGATTTCCCTTTTTACTGTCTATAATTGGTGTAGTCATTCATCTTCCTTCTGGCTACAGTACCATTCAGTCCATAAAGGCTGGCACCTGTGGGTGGGTGCTTGGTAAATTGCTTGAAGCGGTTATCTTGTTTTTAGTTCTTTGGGGATAAGAACTTAAATTCTGGGGGCTAGAAAGATGGCTCAGCGGTGAAGAGCACTTGTGCTCTTGCAGAGGACCTGGGTTGAGTTCCCAGCACCAATATGGCAGCTTATACCTGTCTAGAACTCCAGTTCCAGAGGATTCAGTGCCACTTTCTGGACTTTGTGGGCACCATGCATGCCCATGGTACACATATATACATGCAGCAAAACACTCAGATGCGTAAAATAAGTATAAATAAAAGCTTTGAAAGAACTTAGTCATGTCTGACATTTTAGCATATTGCTTTCTTAAACTTCCTGTGTAGAAGAGTGAGTGGCATTGAATTTTTAGTTTTCTTGCCTCTGCTTCCCCGGGACTGGAATTGCAGGCATGCTTTCTATAGCTTAAGTTCCTGACATATGTTTTGGGAGGACTGCAAGAAAGAGAACCAGGACTGCACATAGGCTAAGCATGCCCTCTGCCTTAACAGATACTCTCAACTCTTTAGTGATTGGAAATATAGTGTGTAATTCTTAGTAGAATTACTGGTTAAATAAAATGAAAATTTAAAAAGTTTTAACACATTCCCATTTTGATAGTAATGATTCATACATAGGAAATTTGGGAAATGATTCATACATAGGAAGAAGAAAAATGTAAATTGTATTACTAAATGTTTTACGGAGGCTTTCACGTTGCTTTCCATAAAGTTGGTTGATGAGGTCTTTTCTAGCGGTGTCTGATGAGTTCCATCCTTCTCCATTTTTCTAAAATCTTGAAGTTTATAGTGTAGTAGATGAAATAGGTGTTGTGTTGTTAACCCCATTTGACTTATTAACTATTCCCCACTGAGGTTTTTTGGGGGTTGGGCATGGATTGAGACAAGTTAGATGTTTCAGTGTCAGTATATATGGCAAACAGCATTTAGTTAGAATTACCTTTGGAAGTTAGCCTGAAGGGAGGCACTGCCTTAGAGACATTGCTCATAATTCCAGGGCAGCCCTTTCCCCTCAAGCACCATTGTCTTTGCATTTAGTTTTTATTAAAGACACATTGCCTTAAATGTATCAATCTTTAGACGCTTAATTTGCATTGAAGTCCACTCTGTGAGAACTGGAACCAAGTGACAGAGATTCGCATCTTCCTTTCATCCTTTCTGCAAAGCCCACTGTGGCTTGGAAGGAACATGTTGATATGCTCGATCCTTGGCACAATTTATCTTCCTCCTCTTCCCTCTTCTTCTTTTCCTTGCTTTCCTTTCCCCTATCACTGACTAGAAAGAGAAACAGGATGGGGAGGTGGTGCAGGGATGCTTACAAATCATAGTTGGGTTTGAATCTGTAAATGTAAATATCCAAAATGAGGCCTAGAAGCAGAACTCACACACCTGTTTGTTTTCATGGTACCAGCGGAAGGCTGCTTCCTGTTTAAACTGCTTATCCCAAGCTTATATGGACCTTCAAGGGTTCAAATAGCATTTTCTATCTGAGATATAATGAGCTCTTTATGCTGTGATCAGCTAGGGTCAAAATAAGGTATAACTTGAATAATGCAATCTCCAAGAACTGGTTTGTTTTGCTTTAGAAACATTTCATTTAAAAATAATTATAGGTTGACAAGTTTCAAATACAGTAGAAGAGACTCTTTTTCTCAACACCCAGCTAGATACGCCCAGGGGTTATACCTCACATAACTGCAGTCATCAGAACTGGAGAGTGGACCTTGGCACAGCACACTTGTGAATAGACTAGACAACAGATCTTGATCTGACTTTATCAGTTCCTGTCTATGCTTGTTTTTCATATTTCTGCATATCTATGTGTGTAGCTATATAACATTTAGGTATAACTTGTTTTTCTTTTCATATTCCTGTATGTCTATGTGTGTAACTATATAACATTTAGGTATAACTTTAAGAATAATTTTTGGGAGCTGGACAACTGTCTCAATGGCTAAGAGAATGTAGTACTCTTGCAGAGCACCTGAATTTGGATTCCAGCATCCACATCAGGTAGCTTACAACTCTGTAATACCAGTTCTAGAAGATCTGATGCCCTCTTCTGGCTCCTGAGGGCACCTGCACATGCACGCATGCATACATACATATATACATGTATGTGTGTATACATATATCCACACACAGGCACACAACACACATACAACTAAAAATAAAAAAGTCTTAAAAAATAAAAAACAAAGACTGGAGAGAGATGGCTCAGTGATTAATTAAGATCCCTTGTTGATCTTACAGATGGCACAGGTTAGATTCTTAGCACCCGTAATTAACTCCGGTTTCAGAAAATCCAATGTTCTCTTCTGACTTCTGAGGGAAACCAGGCATGCACATGTGCACATAAATATATGCAGGCAAAACATTCATACATACAAGATATAAAAATTACTTTTTAAAGAGTAATTTTTATTTCGTGTCTGTGTGCACACAAGCCTCTTTCTTATGCATGTGGCAGATGTGGAGGTCAGAGGATAACTTTGAGAATGAGTTCTCTCCTTAAGCTTATCTAGATCAACTGTTTTTCTATTCTTTTGGAAACAGGGTAGCTCTAGCCATCCTAGAACTCACTATATAGACCAGGCTGCCTTGAACTCACAGAGATCTACCTGCCTTTGCTTCCCAAAAGTGTGGATTAAAGGTGTGTGCCACTATGTCCAGCAAGATTGACTGTTTCTTAATATTTCCCTTGGCTTTCGTAATCGTGATGGCTCTGAAGAACACTGTGCACTTATTTTGTAGCCTCATGGCTGAATAAGGGTTACAGGCTTTTGAAAGGAAGACTACAGAGTTGAATGGTAATTCTTACTATGTCAAGGATAGATGCCATCAATTGATTTACCACTGATAGTGCTGACTATGGCTGAGGAAGTGTTGACAGATTTTCCACCTTACAGCTACTTTGTCTGGCTTGTTCTGCTCTGAGGTAGCAGTCGCTAAGTGTAGTTTACATGCAAGGTGTGGGGAGACCCGGTTGCCTACAGAGGGCTTCTCTACAAAAATTATGTGAATTATTCTACTAGGTGTTTTTTAAATTTATGGAAACAGTACAGGTACTGAATAGTCTAATGTATTTCTTCTTTGCAGGGTGGGAAAGTCCGTAAACACCGGAAGGATCGGCTACAAGATTTAATTGATATAGGCTTTGGCTATGATGAGACAGATCCATTTATTGATAACTCAGAGGCTGTGAGTATATATCTTTAATATGGCAGTAAACTCTTGGCAATAGAAGTCAAGGCAAAGTAACAACATATTTCAATGGATGTTTTGATTTGTGCTTTTAAAAGCTGTTTTCATAGTTTGAAGGGTTTTTTTTTAAAATACTCTAGACTGACATTTTTGTAATGTTGACTTGTTCATGGTAAGTTGTTACTATATTGCTGTCATAGGCCAGGCTTTGGCAAGCTATCTATTAAGGGCCGTGTGGTAAATATTTTAGACCGTGGGCCATATGGTGTCTGTTACAGCTGTTCTACTGTAGAATATGTAAGTGAATTAGTGTGGCATTGTTAAGAGTAACAGTTTCCTGGGAGACTGTGAAATTTAAACTCATATAATTTTCATGCATCATATTATACTTAATCTGATGCTTTTCCCACCAGTTAGAAAACGCAAAATTCATTTCTGGCAGGTGGAGTGACAAATTGTTAGGCTGAGCTTGGCTGCAAGTCCTTGTTTGCCAATAAGGTGGTAGACTGTTACATGTAGTTTGTGAGCTTTCAGATCCTACGAGAATCTTGTGACACTACTAGTTGCTTATTTTCAGGTGCATAGTTAGCATTGATTCCTGGAGAAATCATTACTCCTTGCCCAAACTAAGAAATAATGTTTGTTTGTTTGTTTGTTTTTCTTTTTCTAGTCTTGGGCTTCTCTGTGTAGCCCTGGTTGTCCTGTAACTCACAGAGACCTGCCTCTACTTCCCAAGTGCTGGGATTAAAGGCATGTACCACTGCCACCCAGTGGGAAGTAAAGTTTCAAAAAAGGAAAAAGGCATAGTGTTGTACACCTGCAGTCCCAGAATTGGTACAGTAGAGACAGGGAAATCAGAAGGTCAAGGTCATTCTTGAATACATAGTAAATTGAGGGTAGTCTGGGACCTGTTTTAATATCTGAGACCCTGTTTATAACCATGAGCACACAGCTGGGCGGTGGGGGCCCACACCTTTAGTCCCAGCACTTGGGGGCAGAGCCAGGCACACTGACATGAGCACAGTCAGTCACTAGTACACATAGAAAGAAGCCCACACTGGGAAAGGGATCAAGTTCTAACCAGATGCTGAAAACAACTCTAGTAAGCTTAATCAAGGATGGAAAACATTGATGCACTTGTCTTAATTTTTTAGCATTTTTTAAAATGATTTTACTTATTCTTACTTTATGTACATTGGTGTTCTGACTGCATGTGTGTCTGTGTAAGGGTGTCAGATTCCCTGGAACTGGAATTGCAGACAGTTGTGAGCTTCATGTGGGTGCTGGGAATTGAACCTAGGTCCTTTGGAAAATCAGGCAGTGCTCTTAACCACTGAGCCATCTCTCCAGCCCCCCCCCCCGTGCATTTTTATTATGTGTATGTATGTATGTATGTATGTATGTGTCTGTGTATGTGCCCAAGGAGGTAAGTAGGTGTCAGCTCCCTGAGGCTGCAGTTCAGAAGTTATGAGGTGCCTGATGAGGGTGCTGTGAATCGAATTTGGGTCTTTTGTCAGAACAATAAGTGTTTTTAACCACTGAGCCCTTTCTCCAGCCTCCTGATATCCTTGTCTTAACTAAGATTTAGTGAATTAGCATTTCTGGATATAAGGGCTTAAATAGGATTTTTTTGTTACTAGGATTTCTTTGGTTTTACTTTTCTAGCTTTTTAAAGAATTATTTATGGTCCTGGGTAGATGGCTCAGTTGAAAAAGTGTCTGCCATGCAAGCATTGAGAACTTGAATTTGGATCTCCAGCACCCCCTAAAAGCTAGGCACTACAGTGCCCAGCACTGGGCAGGCAGATTCTGGGGCTCACCAGTCAGTTTTAGTCTGAACAAGTCCGACAGTTCCAGTTTCAGTGAGAGACCTTGTCTTGAAAAAGAAGATGAAGCCTGACACACAGCCCTCTGGCTTCCATACACTCATGCACAGGCGAGTGCACTCTCATACACATACAGACAACGTGCAATACATAAACAAATCAGTTATGCTTATGATAAATCAGCAAGAAAGCACAAGATGGTAGAAGGTATTTGCCAATTGTCCTCCACCAAAAAGTAAACATGAAACTTCTTTTGTAGTCATTAAAAAATTCTGTGTCTAATAAACATTCAGCATGTATATCTTTGTAAAAAAATTTATGTATTTTAAATATTCTTCATTGAAATTCAACATTTTAGTGGTATTTATATATTAGTGCATAGTATGCTGATTTTAATGTATATTTAACTGATTTTAATTAATGTAATTTTAATTCTCAGTGTTACGTTTGCAGGTAGTTGAGCGTCTTGTCTTGCATTCATCTACTTGAATAAATACATATTCAGGATATTTTTATTTTAATTTTTGAGACAGAGTTTCTCTGTGTAACAGGTCTAGCTGTCCTGGAACTGTAGATGTAACCAATCATCTTATTAAAATAAGAAACACAGAGCCAATGTAAAAGAGAAAGCCGAGAGGTCAGAGCTCA